TTTCTCCATGAAAAAAGGACTTTTAAATATTTTAAAGGTGATATTCGTGATCAGCTGAACAAGACGAATCAGAATATGTATGACAAATTGAAAAATAAAACCCACTCGAATTTTGCATTAGCTGCACTTTGCAACGTTTAGGCTGTTTTATATTGTGTTCAAAAGAAATGGCAAGAAAAAGCTTTTAAAACTCAATGGTTTTTCGAAAGGGTTTCTAGAAAACCTCATGACAAAAGCATCATTTTTTAATTTTTTCGATTTCGCAATGCCATCTAACGGATAGATTAACTATATCCTGACGTTTTGGACTCGTTCTGATGCTTCTTGAGTGAATTGTGAATTTTTTATTAGCAGATGAAAACAGGCGGAAAACTCTAGTTTTTGAAAAACTTGGTTTTCGCCCGTTTTAAAATCTTTTTTTTAAGACCAGATATTGCCACGAGATTTAGCAGAGCTCCTCCCTCATAATAGAAGACCACCTGGTGTTTTGTTTTGTCCGGCAAGGCAAATTCTAAAGGGTGGTCTTGCGGTCAGCTTTTGTCACCCGCTAGTAGTCCAGCAGTGACCGCCCAGTCTATCCCCTATTCGAAGAACATTTTGATGAAATTTGCTTAACACTTGCCTTTCCCGTGTTCGGGCATAACAGAAGGTCAGTGATCTTCTATTTGCCTTTGAAATCATATAATCGGCAGTGGTCTTCCAATAGGGGATCGTCCTCTACTATGCCGGGAGGTTTAGTCGAAACTTATGTTTCCATGTATTCCTAAGATTCATTGACCGCAATGAAGAGCAGTCCTAATGCTCGTCCTCGTTTCTCGCGTAACCATGAGAGATAAAGCGCTCGCTTAGGTTCTGTTTTGTAGAGGACACTTTAGTCTATCTATGTATGAAAAAAATCAATATATTGCTATGCCGCATTCTCTAGTTAGGAAACGGTTTTTCAGAGACCGCTTTGAAAAAACTTCCTAAATATTTTCTGCTTTCGAAAACATGCTTTGACCATTGCCTGATCAGGCAAAAAAACAAAAGTAAATAATGGGCCGCCTCTACGCGGCAGAAAAGAAAATTTTCTAAAGTTGTAGTAGACGCCTAGAAGTAGCACTGAAATAAAATGTCAGTCTTTCGTAACTTGTATTGATTGAGTTATTGAATTTTTTTTACTATTACCGCGCCGCAGAAGATCCGAAAATAAAAAATGGCTAAAACTTTTGGAGAAAGAGTCATGGAGAAAAATCCTTTTAAGGTATTTAGTGCCTCGATATACTCTACCGATGGATGTATGAATCATTGAAATCGGAGGTGGATATGTCGGAAGGTTCCCTCGTAAGTCTGAGAGGAGAAATGCTTATGACATTTTCATTATTCAATCGGTATTGTGTTTGATTGGAATTTCTTGTATGATTTTTAAGATAGATCAACTCATCCACCAACCAAGTTTAAGACTTCTCAACGTAAACAGATGTCATGTAGCTGAGGAAATATTTTCAGTGATTCACTCTCTTCTGCTCCCATCACTACACTCTCCTCTGCATAAACAAAAGCACTATAAAATATACATTGTACATCCAATCGTAGTATTCTCGACAGAACAGTTGTGTGATTTTTTAATTATATTGCAATAATGACCTTATTTATTGTTTGCTTTTAGCCGGCGAAAACAAAACATTATAATGTTAATATTTTTGAACTAAAAACGACAATCTTGCCGTTAAGCATGACGAACGACAGATTTCGAATGTTGATTTTCGTACAAAAAAAGGTAAAAGAGTTCGAATTTTTCGAAAACTTTTTTAAAAAAACGAACGGAGCAACCCAGGACCGGTTTCGGCCTTGCTCAAGGGTCTCTTCAGCTGGGTTATGGTGTGAAATATTGTGGAGAAAATGAATGCACGTACCTACGTGTCATTATTAGTCAAATGATAACAACTTATCTTGTTTAAATAAGAAGTTATATTCTTCTCATTGAAGGAGAGAATAAAGCACATTTCTCTATGGATAAAAAGAACTTGTGTTCTTCTGTCCGAAAAAGGCGAAAATAAAGCACATGTCTGTGTGTATATCATTTCTAGAGAAAACACTGTGGTAGTTGGTTTTTGAAAAGCCATAAAAAGCGTATAAAGCCGATATGCTGAATGCGTACCCAATCTGTTATAAAAACGACTCCAATTTGAGCGCCTTCCGTTTGAACACGAAAGAAAATGTACGAAATTATTATCGTCCACGTTTAGTACGCAAGTGATTGATTTTCTGCGATGTCTCTTTGCTCTAAACCTTGAATGGCCGCTTATATCATCTACAAGAGACATTTTTTTAAATCTTGATTTATAAGTAACTTTCATATCATTGATTGAGTATCGTCCCGTTTCGTCGACAAATCGGGCACTTCAAAGGATATACATCAAAGAATTTCAAAGACGGGAGGAGCGGTGTGAGAGTGAGTGTCGACGAAACGGGACTTTCTATAAATATATGTATAAATGTACGTGACAGGAAACAGAGCCCGAAACGAATCGAATGATTCGACATTTGATTCGGTTCGATTCGGCTGCTTGCCGAACCGAACCGAATTTGATTTTTGAAAGACGAATCAGCCACTCAGTTGAAACACTTTAGTCAAACTAAGCTACAATGACATCGTATAAAGTAACAAAAACACCAAGTACTGAAATTTTGTCCTTTTTTTCTTTGATACCACTCAGAAACATATAATCGTGTTAGAAAGAGGAATATATAATATCTATTACCGAGTTATTAACATATCTAATCAAATTCATTTCCAAAGATACAATGTTTGAGAGCACCAGAATGGATGTCGCACATAACCGACATTCACTTATTTTTTGATCATTAATCTTGACGTCTTTTCAATTCCTTGTAGCTCAGCTGTGAGTGAACGAGAATTTTACTTCATCTTTCAAAGTTTCAGCCACAGAAATGATATATTCTGCTCAAGTGTTCCACCTCGAGGCTCTGTATTTTAGACAAACGTGTGGAAATAAAAGCGAAGAAAGTTTCATTTTTCGTTGAACTGGCCCGAATCGAATCGACCCAGGATTTGAAAATGTTGTCCCGAATCGAACCGAACCGAATCAGGAAATCCTGATTCGTTTCGGGCTCTGATAGGAAAATTGTAAATCTAAGTAGAAAAAGAGAGAAAGAAAGAAAAGAAGAAAAAATGCACTAAGTCTTGAAATATTCTTCTGTTCGACAGATATACAAAATGACGGTATCGATATGCAATGTGAACAAACGTTATTCCCGATTTATGTAAGTTTCATCTCAATACTGAAGTAAAAGAAATGTTTAAAAAAGATGCCGTCCGGGGAAAGGTTCGTAGAGGCTCTACACAGTATGTTCAGCTTTTGGATAAGCCAATTTTTAATATTTTTGAAAAACACTTAGATGCAGCTGAGGGGTACATAGATGCACACAGACCCCAGTCAAAAATAAAGCTGAGTACGTTTCAGAAGCGTGTTTTTATGTACCCGACTCGTTAGTACAGCATGGAAAAGAACGCTGATAAGCTTGAATTTTACCGAAGCTTTCTGAGATCTTACTTGTACTTCGACTGTAAAGGGATTCTATCTGTGAGCGGATTAGAATTTTTGGAAAAAACATTCCCAGAGAAAAATTGAATATACTTGCTTCAAAAGAAAAAAGGAGGAGGAACGATTTCTTACTACTTGGTGTCGTGCTTGGCACTTCTTTTACTTGCGGATAACAACATTCAATATTAGACCGAGAATTAAACAAACTTCAAAAGTATGACATCGGTCATAACTTTCTTGTCAAATATCAGATTATGAATGTTCTCTAATACATGAACACTCGTCTGCCATCAGTCGAAATGATATGACATATCTCAAACATGAATGTATTAATGATGAATATGAGACCGTGAATGATCGGTTTCAGGTTTCTCCAGTGCTGACTTGACCGTTCTCAAACAAACATTCAAAAACCGTCATACATTGACATATGTCAAGTGCATTTCATCATTCATCTTTGACATATACCACATATGCGAAATGATTTAGGTAACACACTCTCAGCACGAAGCATCTACTAAAAGAGGCCCAAACTTGGTGGATGATCAGCATTCGGCAAGAGCTATGACCCCACAAAATTAGAAGTCCGTATTTATCATGGCTCTAGAGTCACAGGGGCGCCCAACTTTTGCGGAGTACTGTATAATACTGAACAATCCGAGAATGCAGGCGGACGTTTGAGTTTATTATTAGTCTTATATGTATACAACTGACGTTCTGGCGCCAGTTTTTAATTTGTTTATAGCTGCGCTCGCGTTCACCATCTCAGCTGTTCTAGAACACATCGTGTATTGTGTAGTAACACATTTGATTACTATTGATTTAGATTTAGAAGAAAAGAACTAAAAACATCCTAAAACCACATGTGTGGAATAGTCTTTGTTCGTGATGAAATAATTCGACAAACCTGTTCCATTGGATTGAGATATGGGAAACATCATCTCAGCACAAGCTTTACAATTTTATTCAAACAAATGTTCATAGGTCTTTTTTATCTGTTGTCTTTTGTTCTGCTTGTGGTGTAACATTTTCATTAGTTATATTTAAATCCATAACTAATCTTGACCAATCTGGAAATTGCTCTGTGTGTAATGCATTAACAAAATAAATATTTTTAACAAGTTTAACATTATTATCAACTATTTCTTGTTTTATTCTTCCTTTCATTATTTCTCGTTCGTCTAATGGTACAGCGTTAAATTTATTAATAACAATAAAATAATCTAAATTAATAGCATCTAATAAATGCATGACCTTTATCATATTTTTAATTGTTTTTGTTACAACAATTATACGTGATGTCAAACCTTTCCAAAAACTAATATATTCCACTGTAAAATAAGTTTTTAAATCTGATTTGATTTGATTTGATTTTTATTTCGACAACAGCAGTTTTGAATGGAAAAGAGTAAACTTTAGTATTACAATACAAAAATTTAACTAATACATAAACATGTTGTCAGGAAAGCAAAAAAGGT